AAGCAAGATCTGGAGACCAAGAAAAATATCAGACAGAACAGCTCGCAGGATTGTGAGAAAAACAATTCAAAACCCACGTTTGACTGCACGATCCCTCCAGAAAGATCTGGCAGACACTGGAGTTGTGGTACACTATTCCACTATAAAGAGATACTTGTACAAATATGGTCTTCATGGAAGAGTCATCAGAAGAAAAACCTCTTCTACGTCCTCACCACAAAAATCATCGTTTGAACTTTGCAAATGAACATATAGACAAGCCTGATGCATTTTGGAAACAAGTTCTGTGGACCGATGAGGTTAAAATTGAACTTTTTGGCCGGAATGAGCAAAGGTACGTTTGGAGAAGAAGGGGCACAGAATTTAATGAAAAGAACCTCTGTCCAACTGTTAAGCATGGGGTTGGATCAATCATGCTTTGGGGTTGTGTTGCAGCCAGTGGCACAGGGAACATCTCACGAGTAGAAGGAAAAATGGATTCCATAAAATTTATGCAACTTTTGGATGGTAACTTGATGCCATCTGTGAAAAAGCTGAAGTTAAAGAGAGGATGGCTTCTACAAATGGATAATGATCCTAAACACACCTCGAAATCCACGGGGGATTACATCAAGAGGCGTAAACTGAAGGTTTTGCCATGGCCTTCACAATCTCCTGACCTCAACATAATTGAAAATCTATGGATAGACCTTAAAAGAGCAGTGCGTGACAGACAGCCCAGAAATCTCAAAGAACTGGAAGACTTTTGTAAGGAAGAATGGGCAAAGATACCTCAAACAAGAATTGAAAGACTCTTGGCTGGCTACAAAAAGTGTTTACAAGCTGTGATACTTGCCAAAGGGGGCAGTACAAGATATTAACTCTGCAGGGTGCCCAAACTTTTGCAGATGCCATTTTTTTGTTTTCTGCTATTTTGAAAGTGTAAATGATGGAAATAAAATCTAACTTTTGTTGACATATTATAAGAATGTCTAATCTGTAATTTGATGCCTTTTGGAGATTTTTCCATCTTTCCTTGGCTTCTTTATGCACATTAATACAAATTTTTAGCTGGGGTGCCCAAACTTTCGATCCCCACTGTACATATTTATTTACACGCTGCACATTTTTTGAATAAGACAGCAACCCTTATGCATGCTACTTTTTTAGCCATCTGTGTCCCCATTTCTAGTGATCTCCCCTCACTTCCTTCCCCACTGTCAAGGCAGAAAGAAACCTCCCCAGAAAACAAAAACCTGACATCAGTTCTAACCTTTTTATGTTCTGTCCAAAGTTAAAAAGAACATTTTGGCTTGTGTTCCACTTTATCAGTTTGTATCTGACTGGTTGCCATGATCAGCTCATCTTCTTTTTGCTATGGGAGCCAATTTTCTTTTGGTGCGCAAACAGTCCATATTTTTCACAGGCAGATTACACAGCAGTCTTTCAAAAACCAGCTGTTGTTCTTTTACATTTCTTTTCTTCACATTTTAGTTGTGAGAATGTAATAAACGTCTGTTTGCCAGACAAGGAACAGTTCCAAACTGAACAAGAAAAATAGAACATTACGGAAAGAAAAAAGCACCATCTTACCCCTGCTGTCCACATGTGCCATTAAAATGTTAAAGAGGCAGCTAAAATAGTTTTTCCTTTTTTTCTTTATCATTCATTTGGACAGCAAATTCATATTTGGTATAATGATTAAGCTAGACACATGGGGGTGGATTTACTAAAGCACTGTGAATAAGGTTAACCTTTGAACTTTCAATGATGTGCAGGGGACTTTTGTTTTTAAATAAAAAGGATTATTTCTAGTGCAGAATTGACTAAAATGGGTATTCATGGTATTCATGGTGAACATAGCTTCAAAAAGCAAACATACACTGCCTGCTTCTTTAGTAAATCAATGTAAAGTAAAAAATTCTGCGGCAAATCCAAGATCATGGCAAATCCCAGGAAAATGATAGAATAGAGCAATTTAACCACTTCAATCCCATATACTTTTACACCTTCTTGTTAAGGCCAAGCTTCAGCTGTCAGCGCTGCCGCATTTTGAAAGACAATTGTGCAGTCATGCATCACCACTGGGTTTTTAATTTTTTTGCTAAACAAAAAAAAAAAAAAAGACCGACAATTTTGAAGAAAAAAAAAAATGTTTTTCTTCGTTTCTGTTATAAAATTTAGCAAATAAATAATTGTTTTTTTTATAAATGTAGGCCAAAATGTATTCTGCTACATTTCTTTGATGAAAATAACCCAAAACAGTGTTTACTATTTAGTCTGTAGGAAAGTGATAGAGTTCACAAACTATGGTATATATTTTAAAATTTTTCAATCCTGATGTACGGACAGTCTAATTTCTTGAGGCCCAAAAATGTCAGGACAGTACAGATATTCTCCAAATGATCCATTTGTAAAAAGTAGACAGTTCAAGGTATTTAGTAAGAGACATGGTGGGTTTTTTGAAGTTGTAATTTTTTTATCATGATTTTTTTGGAAAAATATATATATATTTTTTTAACAGACTGTCACTAGTGCAGTACAGCGTCAACATATAACTGGTGTACAGCTAATCACATGGACTGTCATGAATCAAAGCCATTCATGGTTTACAATCATCATGTGATCTGCTGTAATTGGTCACAGCGTTCACACGGTACCTGCAGTGGGCCGGTACAGGTATCTGTTATTGGTTGTGTGTCCAGTGGACACAACTGGTGACAGATTGTGAACGCAGCGCAGCCACACAGCAGAATGCGAGGTGCGTTCCAGGAAGACGTCATATATGATGTCCACCTGGAACAATGAAAGTCCCGTGTGGCCATCATTTGCAATAGGCTGGGTGGGAAAACTTAGGCCTCTTGGTCAATATTTCGACTCTCACCTGCTATTGGTTTGGATCTCTGAGAAAAGCTTCATTGTTCACCTGAGCCAAAAAAGACTCTTTTCCCACTGATCTTTCCCACTGATCCTTCTCTCTCTATCCCTTTCTCTCTCTCTCTGCATGCTTATTCTCTGCTTCCCTCTGTCTTCTACTCCAGCCTGTTTTCTTCTTCAGTTATGATTGTCCTGCTTGTGCATACCGAGTTGCCCACCCACACCAGTGTTTAATTATGTACTCAATGTTAATGGTGCTTATTAAAAGATTTTGAATAATAGCCAGTCAGGCAAACATTCTATGTTCATTGACAAAAATATACCATATGCGCTTTCTTCCAATTCGATCCATTTATAAAGTCTCATGTCGAAAAGCGTCAGTAAGTGACATCAGACTGGAACTGGAAGCATCTATTGCCCATCTTGGATTCATTGCCTTATACATGTGTGCACCTTGCTTTGATTGTGGGGTTTGACCTCATTCATTTTGTATAGGCTCAAATCACACCGCAAAGGTATCGGTGCTCATACTCGTGCAAATAGCAAAACCTGCAAACATTCTAAATTTTCTTTAAAAAAATACACACACACATATACATATATATATATATATACACACACACACACACATTATATATACACACATACACTTTTTAGGAGCTGCCCGTCAATAGACTTAAAAAGCCCAAAAAAATAAAAATAAACCGCGCTCCCTACACCCTATCATAAATAAACGTGTAATATCCACAACAGTTTTTGCATAAATGTGAATACATAATGAATACACAATAAAAAAATCAATATAAGAAATCAATATAACTAAATTATTGCACAAATGCCTACCTCCCACATACACCAAGTGCAATAAATCATACCAACTAAACAAACATCCAACAAAAATCCAATGTACAAATAGGTCAACTGCAGTTTAACAAGAATCACTGGAGATGTTAAAGCGCAGTTGACCTTCTTTGCAAAAAGAGTTGCAGTGTATGTCTCTCCTTTGGGAAGAAAGGAAGATCAAAAACTTCTGGTGTTTTTTCTTCTTTTAGTACTTTATTAAGGAAGGAGCATGGAACACTTGGAGTTTATGGACTTTAACATAAATTCAGTGTACAAATAATATATATAGACTAAGTGCAATAAGTCATACCATAATACACACACACACACACACACACACACACACACACACACACACACACACACACACACACACACACACACACACTTAATGGTTCTGTTTTTTCTTCTTTTTTTTTTTTTTTTAAATACAACTTCTGGAGGGGAAGAGCATAGTGTGAAAGGAAGAATACATGCACACCTGGACTGCAATAAAAAGCTTTATTTGGCCCTCGCATTCATGTAGTAGAATTGAAGGCAAAAGATTATTTTTTAGTTTTGGATAGAGTGGAGATGGACTAGAACACCTGTCAGGTTTTTATTGCAGTCTGTGCCCATGTTTGGGAGATTCACTCTCTCTAGTTGTCATGTTTACCATTATCACTGAAAGTGAAAGTAAAAGAAACCCCAAATTTTGGGTTGTTCCCAGAAAAGTAATAGAGGTGATTTTAAAAAGGGGACATTATGTGGTCCCAAGGAATTCCCCTAATTTGCAGGGATTATCTCTCACTTCCTCTTTTGGTTATGGGACAGGAAGTGAATGTAATTCTCCTCAATGGGACACAAGTGGCAAAAATAAACTGATGGGTTAAAACCCTCCCTTACTCTATCCAAAATGAAAAAAAAATTAAACTGCCTTTAGTTCTACTTTAAGGGTCACAAGATTCTGTGAGAATTTAAAATAATTTTTAAAAGGAAGAATAGGATTGAGGATACGAGACTGTATTACTGAGTTAATAATGACGTGCTGGTTTACCAATACTTAGTGTCATAGTTTGTGCTATTCCCTATCATCACTATTGCTGGTCAGCTTTTATGGTATGTAACCTAGGGAACAATATCAATAATGGCATGTGAAGTAAAAATGAATTCCCAGAGTAAACATTGTACTATATTTATTAACATCATACAATAATAATAAAAAAAAAAAATACAGTCTTTTTTTTTTCATGTAAAACAAAAAAAGAAAAGAAGTCACATTTTTATGTTAGAGTGTAATTTTAATGAATGGTAGAGCTTACCTCTAGCAAGACTTCCTTATTTCGGTCTGCCATTTCGGAGGTTTCTCTCCTTCCTAAAAGGTAGTTCTGAAACAAAAGATAAGCCAAGCCATTAGGCTAAAAGGTAAGGATGATTCATGTAGCTCTTGCAAGTTAGATTTTAATTTTGTCAATTTTTCTAAATTTTAGCCAAGCTGAAGGTATATCTTGATGGGGGACCAAAGACCATTTCTGTACTTCCTTAGACTAGAATACATATGAAATCTTATTTAGAAAAGCAATTATAATGCGATCAACCAATTAAACCATGTAGCCTAAAAACTAATTTGTTGATATTTTTCTGCCCCTTACAGTTACATAGGAGAATGTGACAGAGTGCTACACGGGCCAAAACAATATGATGAAGCTCCAATGATGAAGGAGTCTAGAGGTGGGTCACTATAATAACCAATTAATTTTAATGCATATCTAAAATTAACGTGAAACCCAAAGTAACAGCTATGAAAAGGTTTGACCTCTACTTTATGATGCATTGTAGCAGTTTTATTGCCCAGGGTAAAACCCTTTCACAAGATGTCTCTCCTTCCTGTAAGTGGAGTTATTGTTCTAGCACAACAGAAATCACAAAGTGCCATAAAAACTGCTGTATCACAAAGATATATGTGCGCAACCTCTTCAATATTGAGCCGTGTAGCTGCAGACAATGTAGCTGTCAATGCAATTAGTAAACTCAGGCCCATGAGCATCTCAGACTGATTTGTAGTGAAAATGCTGTAATTGGTCTGCTAGAATATGTACTCTGTCCTGTCTTTTAGGCTTCATTTATTTTAACACTTCAATAACGAGGCATCTCTGTGACACAAGACAGTTTTTGATGTCAGCAGTCTGCAAGGCCCTAATGAGGCTTCTGGTTTTTAACAAACATGTCATGAGACATGAAATTAATTATTTACACAGGAGATGCATCAAATAGCAGTAAACTAGTTTTAGTGCCCATTGCTCTCAGCACTGATGGTTCAGGCCATGGAGTGCCCACTGAAAATAAGCAAAAGACCTGAAACTCCCCTAAAGCCCCCCCCCCCCAAAAAAAATTGTTTTTTTATATAGCAGATAAAACAGTGCACAATCAGAGTTTAGTGGATATGGCACGTTTACTGAAAAAATGACAACTGACAACTCAATTAAAATCAGTAAAAATATGCTTATCATTGATTAAGTGCAGGTCTCAGCAAAGGCAAGGCATCAGGGCATATACACAGGATTGACAAATGTAGAACCTTTAACACCTGAGGAGAACACCAGGGGCGCCAATCTAAGTGCACCTTAATCACTTGCCCTCCTGAGGATTTACCCCACTTCCTGACCAGGCCATTTTTTGCATTACGGTGCTGTGTTACTTTAACTGACAATTGTGCATTCTGACACTGGGGGGAACTGACTTTATGTCACTCACATCCCCAATGACACCAATACAGTGATGATAATAAAAAAAACAAAAAACTTATACTGTACTAATGGCACTGGGCAGGAAGGGGTTAACATGAGGGGTGATCAAAGGGTTAACTGTGTGCTGTTTTACATAGGGGGCTGTGTGTGTGCGCTTCACTGTAATCACATTGCTTTGGATGGCTGTGCTGACAGGTAGCAGAACTATATTCTTTACATACAGCTCTCCTCCCCGTCAGAGATCCTTGTCAATCACCGGGCGGCAGCGAGCAATCACCGGCCGGGACCCGGTGATTGCCAGCCGCGGGCACAACATTAAAAAAATCACACATATATACGTGATTTTGCGCACCCGAGCCGCCCTGTAGCAGTATATCTGCTATAGGGCGGTAGGCAAGCGGTTAATAGGTAATGGATATAGCACAAGACAATTGGCAGCTCACTTTAGAACTAGATCAGGGGACTCCAAACTTTTGAAACAGAGGGCCAGTTTACTGCCCTTCAATCTTTCGGGGGACCGGACTGTGGCCAGTGGGAATAGAGAATGCCATGGGCTTGGTTTACTAAATGGGGGTAAAAAATGTTTACATAATTGGTGTCAGTGGGAGGAATAGTGTCCCATCATTGGTGTCAGTGGGAGGAATAGTGCCCCATTGTTGGTGTCAACGGGAGGAATAGTACCCAATCATTGGCATCAGTGGAAAGAATACTGTCCATTCGTTGGTGTCAGTGGGAGAAATTGTGCCCCAATCATTGGTGTCAATGGGTGGAATTGTGCCCCAATCGTTGGTGTCAGTGGGAGGAATAGTGCCTCGTATCACTGGAATGCCCCAAGGGCTAGATAAAAGCAAGCAAACAGCTACATCTGGCCCACGGGCCGCAGTTTGGAGACCCCTGAACTATATGGAAAGCGCATGTCGAGAAGAATATTTTTACTGATTTAGACGAGTTGCTATTTGTATTTTGTTTTTTAATTATAAGATATCCACTACACTAAAGCAGCCCATAGATAATTTGATTTTCTTTCCTTCCACCTATAAAAGGAAAGTCGCTTGATTCCCCCATCAACACAGTCAGTGTTGATGGGGAATGCCTCCCCGCAGTGCTGCCCACACATAGATCAAATCTCGGCCAGAGAATTTCTATCCATGTATAGCTGGCTTTAGATTACGCACCCTGCTGTGTTTTATCTGTCATTATAGAGAGAGATCTCTTCAGTCTCAGGAGATGCTGCATAAAAGCATTCTGGATTCAGCAACAAAAAAACAAAAAAACAAAAGACTCATCCTCACAAGTTAGAAGGATCTGTGTATGAACTATATACCACAGACATTTACGGAGTTTCTCTGAATTTCCATATGCAGTTATGGACCAAGAGCTCTAGTAATTTCTTTGCTATGTTATATACACATACATACAAATGTTTTGCCTTTCATTTCTTTTAAACTGAATTGGTTTTACAAGGTAAGGGTTCACATATACTTTAACCTAATTTCTAAAACGGTGGTTTAATCCTTTCGCTGCCAGGACTGTATGTCATATGGGCTTCACAGTAGGGGGTTAGGTGGTTTTACACACAATACAGTGTGTATATTCTGACAAACCGACTTGTGGACGTCAGATGGAAGCATCCTGGGGGCTGTGAGCCATCCGATTGCTTACACCACCCCTGGTAACATGTGTGTCCCCGGTCATGTATCAGCAGGCTCCACTTGCTCATATGCGGGCCCAGGACCGGCATGACGGGTAGAGGGGAGGGAGCTGAGTGGATACACGTCCGTTCTCCTTTTCTTCTTGTTACTGACCTGAAAGCGACGTGTAAAATGACACTTCCGGATCCCCCTGTCAGTTTCCCTGGCTTGGTAGATTACTATTTTTTTTTGGACCTGTCAGAGGGGTGAGACTTTGTCATATACAGATGTATATTGATACACTTTCATATTTTTATTTGAGTAGCTCAGTAGGTTATTTTTGGGGGCATTGCTCCTTGATGGTCACTTAGAATAAATTGAAGTGAGCCTTGAACAGCCTGGATGGTCTTGAAGGTTGTATATAAATATTAATATATATGATAGCGTACACATATATGATGACGTTTTCGCATTGATATGGAGATTGACATTACTGTTTGGTCCAGGATTGTTCCCATGCAAGGTTAAATAGTATTGAGTGCTGTGTTAAACACTGACCTCTCCCCATTTTTAGAGGTGGGCTTTTACATCTTGGACAATGGTGTACCTCTATATATAGATTGCAGCAAAGGTGCTCAGGTTAGCTTTGAGGAAGAGCGCATCGCCCTTGAAACGTGTAAGCTGCACCCTTTTTGATGGATCCATTTGCAGGAGCTTGATGGGTATTGATATATGCACTTTATTGTGTATCTTTGTGATTATATTTGCATATGTTTTTCTTCAATAAAGAGTCCTATGGTAATGCACAAGGCTGGTGCGCTTTCTTTATATGCTGTTCTTTTAGGGCCAATCCTATGTTTAAGAACCCAAATACAATTGCTTAAGTTGGCAGTGGCAGCTGTAGATGGCACTGCTACCCATAATAGCTGGGAAAGCAGCACACCTAGTAGGGTGAGGGTAATGCAGGAAAACCTAAACCTTTGGTGGTAATTGTGGATTCTATAATCAGGAAGACTGACAGAATAATTTGCCACCAGGATCGCCTCAACCAAATGATTTGCTGTCTACCTGTTGCCAGAGTTAGGCATGTGGTGGACTGGGTAGACAAATTAATGCCGGGGCTGGGTATGATCCAGTTGCCTTGATTCATGTTGGGACCAAAGATACATGGAAGATGGGGGATCCTTAATAATTAACTTAAAAAACTAGGCTGAAAGCCGATGGAAGTGACCTCCAAGGTTATATTCTCATGCTATAGTCTGTTCCATGTGCAACACAGAAAAGGCAACAGAAGCATGGATAAATGCCTGGTGTAAGAGTGGAGGAGTTATGTTTGGCATGGGGTTTTCTGTGCTAGAGGACTGGTTTATGGGAAGGCTAGAATGAGTATTTAAATTAGGAGGGAGACAAATTTTCCATCAATGGCATCCTGTACTTTCTTCTTATCTTCTGCAGACATCCCCATTTTTCTGTGTAAAATTTAACTTGCTGAGCAAGTAGAAACTTACAGAGGGGTGTGTGTAGTCACCCTGTTAAGCACTTGGGCATGATGACTGACCTCTCAAGTGCTGTATTGTCATGAGGTAAAGGCTGTACAGGCAGACCTATACTCTGCAATCAGCAAAGCTCATGGTCTCTAATGATTGAGACTCTAGCTCTGACTCAACAGGGGATATGTTGCACCTTAGAAGAGAGACTGCTGCTTCTCCACAGAGGGCAAGGTCAAAACCTGCATCTGCTGCAAGGGAACATTCTTTCCTACTCAAGCAGTGAATGCTTCAGAACGAAAACAGACTGTAAAGCATTGAACATTTTTTGTTCTAATATACTTGGAATGTATTTAGCTGATGTATATTGAAGGTTCAGTTGGGCTTAAAACAAGATAGTCCTCATTTACACAGATATCTTGGTATAAGGTGGGAGGTGTCTGCCTGGAGTCAATGCAGTGTAGGGAGTTTGATATAAATGGACAAAAGTATTTTTAAACATGCCAGATCTCTAAACAGCATT